TATACTGGATGAAATGTGAAAATGTCACTTAGATGGAACACTGTCATTCTTACTGGTAGAAATTGATGATTCGCCGTAAGACACTTGCCTTTGGAAAAATACACAATTCATTAATAAATCACGACTTCATGTCACGGAATGGATTTGATCTATTCATGTCATCCATGACATTGTAATGACATTTATTCGCTCATTTGAATAAATCCCAGCCAAAGGATTCTTGTTTAAATTGAAAGGGTTATATTTTTAGGAGTGAATAATTTTCAAAACAGAAAGATTTTGGACTTTTACCTCTTCATCTAGATACAAAAAAATGTGGAAATCTTTCAAAAAAAGAAAGAAAGCAATCAATTCCAAAAGGAGTAACTCTATTCATAGATTTGTAGATCATGCAAATCCAAGTTTCCACTTCCAGAAGTGAAGGGCAAGGCAACATAATTCATGTAGATTTTGATGAGGTTAGAAGTAAGTCTCCTTTTAGATTTGGATCCAAATAACATACATAATGATTTTTTTTCATTCAATTTTAAGTTATGTGTGCATGAGATTTTGTACAGCTTTGTCAATATATCTCAATAATGGAGGTGTACAAAGTCGACAATGATAAATATTATGAAAGTTTTTCTTCCACTTTCAACTTCTCTGATGGTCTGTGATTCTCAGAGCGGGACTCCATCCTGTTGAATCGATCATCGTAAATAAATTCTCCCAATTTGGGAAAAGTGATAATTCAATTATCAAAAAACAGTACTTTGCATTTACCTCCATTGAGTTTGAGTCTGTTCTCACTACACTAGTTTTAAACTTCATAAGGCGAGCCCTGTAAATGATAGCCAGTCGTCTATGGACTTAATTACTGAATGAATCTTCAAGTTATCTGCAAAAAGTGAATAGGGGCATGTGATCCTTATTGAAATGTCTTTTATGGAAATTAGGAATAAGAGTGGCTCCAGAATAGACCCCTGGGGGTACCCCTGAAGTAGAAATATAATGGTTCGATTGTATCCCCCCCATATTCTACAAATTGAATGATAATAATGATAATAATAACAGCTCATCTTGCATTTGCTCAGATGCTTTGCGATACCCGACATGAAATGCAATGAACTACTGATACTACTTTGACAAACTCGCTTCACCATAACATCTGGTCAAGCCAGAATCCAAACACTGTGGGTCACTTCGAGAAGGGGTGTATTTCAGGGCGATTTCCTCAGTCCCCTTCTCTTCCACATCTCAATATTGCCATTATCCGTTGCGCTCAGAAATACTCGAGGGTATAGCTGTGGCACCCCCGGAAACCGGAGGCACAAGGTCACCCAATTGTTTTATATGGATGGTCTCAAATTTCACTCCTCTAGAGAGAAAGATTTCCATCATTTCTTGAGGGGGATGGGAGACTACATACTACGGTATGAAATTCAGGACAGACAAATGTGCATTGGTCCATCTCAAAAGGGGACGATACGGGGACTACGGAGAGGATGTGCAGCTCGTAGATGGAAGCATCCTACACCATTTGGATGCCGGAGAGAAGTATACTTACCTCGAAGTTGAACAACGCCAACCACCAGAGTTAACAGCAGTGAAGAACTCTCTCCGCGGCAAGTATCAGCACGAACTTCGACAGATCTGGTCATCGGAACTGTTTTCACCTCACTTCTGCGGAAACACAAGGATAAGCCAATGCATGGAGTCTGCTTCAATAACATTGAAGACCTTGGCGTATCAAAGCGCCTGACTTTCACTTTCCTCAAGTCGAGTGGGCTGAAGTCGGAAACTGAGGGGTTCATCATGGCTTGCCAGAATGGTGTCTTCAACACCTCAGTCTGCCACAGTCGCGTGATGGGTATAGAGGTTCCTGTTACGAAGTGCAGAGCGAAGCGCCCGAGACCCTAATACACTTGCTATCAACATGTACAGCATATGCGGTCTCGGCCTATATCCTTCGACATAACGCGATCCCAAGAGTGCTATATCACCATATACGGCAATCTTACGGTATTGGCGAGACACCCGTGTTGCCTTACGCTCCGGAGGATATTGAATCCGTTGTGGGGAACGAGAAGTGCTGAATTTAATGAAACTATTCAAGACGATATTTTTCGTGGAGCTTTGAGCTCCTGGCGAGACAAATATTGTCCGAAAAAAGAAGGAAAAACGGATAATTTAGCGAGATTTTCCTTTCTGACTCTGCAAACTCTATCCAGACAACTCTGTCAAGATGGTAGTTCTGATTATTGAAGTCCTTGGTGGAATGATGCTATCTCTACTCTCGAATCTTAAAATCATACCGGTCTGCCGCACTAAGGCAGAAATCTTAGCCAAACAGATGCAGAAGGCTGTCGCTGTGATAGTGTGTATCGCTGTGTATCGGGGCTTCGAGGGATAGGGCCTGACCAGCGCATACTTCGGTATTGAAAAAAATAGTAATACGATTCGAAGATAAGATTTAAGCAATCCTATTGAAAAGGTGGATAATCCGATTCTTCGAAGTTTTAATCAAAAGTGGAAAATGGTCAATATGATCGAGGATTTTTTTTATATCACTATAGTTGACATCAACATGTTCTGTTNTTTAATCAAAAGTGGAAAATGGTCAATATGATCGAGGATTTTTTTTATATCACTATAGTTGACATCAACATGTTCTGTTGAATCGAGATTATAAGAAGTATATTCATTTATACTCGTCAGGTTTGTTGTGGTAGATCTTTTGGAGATGAATTCATGCTGATTTGATGTTATTATCATCGTAATATCTTTATATATTTGATGATGAATATTGTTTTCAGAAATTTTTCCAAAATTGCATAATATAGCTACTGACCTGTAGTTTAATACGAATGATTAGTATAGCCAGACTTGAATACGGGAAATATTTTTGTTTTTTTCCATATCTCTGGATAGCTTTCAGAAGTAACAATTGAGTTGAAGATATGGGAAAGTGGTTTTATCAACACAAAAATACAATTTTCAATAATAAAACTTGGCAGGTAATCCACTCCAATGGTAAGTTTATCTTTGTGGTTTTTTGAAGCTGTTATTATATCTCCTTCAGAAATGTGCTAAATCAAGGTATTAAGGTTATTCATCGGATCAAATCTCGTCTCGGAATTATTATCGTTGGAATTCAAATATACACTAGAGAAAAACTCCGCAAACCAATCCACAATTCACTGAGAAGAATCAAGAGTAGAATCATTATATTGCATACAACCGGAAATTCTTGATGTCTTTTCCTTACAGTTGATAAAATTCCAAAATCTATTAGAATTGTCTTTCCATTTCTAGCACATAAGAGGCATATGCGATTGTCATCTTACGTTTAATGTTTGCTCTGAGATTCTTGAATGTTTGAAAATAATTGATAATTTTGAACTTTTGTAGATGTTGTTTGCGGAATTTTTTTAAATTGATATCATCAATGTTGTCACCTGAAAATTTCGATATAGAGTTGAATATTATTAGACGAATAGGTCATAATAATCAACAGAATCTATAACAAACACAAAACTAAAATTCTCAATCGTAGTTTAATCTCTTCTAACAACTCCAATAAATATTGTTTTATTTCCTATTTAGGTAAAGTTTCACAAGATATTTCAAATATTCTCAGACGGCACTGTAATGATATTAATGTTTCGTTTTATACTCTGAATCCTTTTTCCGAATTGCTAGTCAATACTAGAAATAAAAACCAGTCTCCCATGAATCAAGCATTTACAGAATTTCGTGTTCGGAACCAAATTATTCCACTCAGTATGTCGGACAACGTGGTAGGAAAATCAAAACAACAGTTCTTGAACATGTTAAACTAATTAAAAATTTCAGAAGTCCACACATAGATGATTATAACACTAAAAGTTTGTTCTTTTATCTCATTCTTAATTACCACCATAGTGTTGATATTAATTCAATTTAGTTCAGATATCTCTTATTATGAGTCTTATTATGAGTCGTTTTCATGTATCGTTTGATAATTTTGATGTTATTGAGTGGGTATAAAGACCCGTCAGAAGCGTAGGTGATAAAATCAGTGGGAGCTGAAACAGATCGCTTGCATAGACGAATTCGGCAGTAAATCGAGGTCTATCTTACTACCAACGAATAAATTTATAAACATCGAAATCAGATCGGTTGGAAACACGAAGGAGACTGAAAGCGTAGGGTGTAATTGGATTTCGGAGGTAATTCTTCCGAATTGTTTTTGTTTTCTTCCCACTGCAGGAGTTTGCTGCCTGTTTGAGAACGATTCGTTTGATTCTTCGTCCAGACGGATAAGAATGGATTGGGTGTATCTGCTCTTCGAGTTTTGACTTGATAATTCACTGAAAGAAACTGAATGAATGAAGTTATTTCGCTGAGACCAAATTTGTTTCAAGAGAACAGATAAATACATTTTCGAAATTCAAATAGGCTGTTTCTGATGAAATGATTTTTGAAACGTATTTTGATACTATTGATGGGGAGAAGGGACGTGAGAAACGTGAAAAAAAAACTCAGAAGTATGGAATGATGTGTTCATACGTTCACGAAATTGGAAGTAGAGACGAAATGAATTAGGGCCTGAAATTTTCAGTGTTGGTGCTGTCGTACCAGAGTTTTATATTTGACAGACATTTTTTCAAATTTGCATTCTGAGTAATAGTATATTGTTCAACAAGTGAGAAAAATGGCATATTTCTCACGGGCGCAGAAGTTGGCACGAGCAAAAGGAGAGTGCCAAAATCAAGCGAGTGGAAAATAAGTCATTTTCTCACGCATTGTACACTGTACACTATAATAATACTTGTATGTCATTAAATCATTTTTATTATAAAGTCTTTAAACTCATGTTGCAATTACCATTCATCTAATCTGCTCGACTCCCAGTTCTCATACTCAGTCTCAACTCCATACGAAAACTAACTTGTTATCATTTTCAACACGAAATACCACATTTTTGTCGTCTCGCTGGAAGATGTGACTTAAAAATGACATTTGTCTGCACTATCTAAATGGTTGTCACTTTCAACGCCGGAGGTAATCCCCCGAGAGATTTCCAACTCCGGGTGAGATTTGCTGTGGATTTGTCCGCACCATTTTTAAACTCCGTGAAGCTTTCCTCCGAGCTGAAATAATAAAAGTTGGGTCCGGTAAAAGAAATAATAGACTCATTCGGAGATAGTGAACTAGCAACTATTTTTTTTCAATCGTTACAACTGAATGATTTTATCGATATCATTTTAATTTTGTTGAGAAAAAAGTTTTACGATACTGTTCAAAATGTAAACAATGTAATTTCATGTGACAGCTACTCAATGAGGTATTAGAAAATTGCCAAAACCCATTTCAAACTGTCAAAAAAGATCAGTTCGTTATTATAGATAGATAGATTTTCATTTGATCACGTTATGAATATACATTTTTGACTAGTCATAGACAGTTGGCACAAATTAGTGGGCAAATAGAGAGAACAATATGAAAGCAGCAGTAAACATACATTTTTATTTTCAATTCATACCTTTATCAGCAAATACTTTTCATCAGGTTCATCTTTCAAAAAGTGTTGAATTTCTCCAGAAGTTAATGTTTCTGACTGTTTTGGAACATATTTTTCAATCAATCAATCAAACATTTATTGAATCAGTTTTCATTTACAATCACATTAGGCAAACATCATCAAAAATACTGGCTGATACAACAGGTCGAACTATTATAAAAAATCAAATACGAAGCATAACTTGAATAAAAATAAAATTACTGAGCTATAATCAACTTATGATTCAAGGAGAAACTCATCCACAGAGCAGTATGCTTTCTGCAATAGAAAAAGCTGCCTTTTGAAGACATTGATGTTTGAGGACTTAAGCTTATTATAAGCTTATTATATAGTTTAATACCACAGCACATGGGATGATTCTTCGATACTGTCAATCTACTATAAGGCTGATAAAGTTGAGGTTATTTCTGGTGAAATGCTCATGAATTTGCTCATTTCTAGGAATAATTGAATTATTGTTTCTTATATACATCAGAGTTTGGTAGATACACAAACTAGGCATTGTTAATACACTATAACGAATGAATAATGGCCTGCAGTTTGCACTTGAAGATGCCCCAGCCAGAATTCTGATTACCTTTTTCTGAATAAAAAACACTTCTTCAGCTAGAGCTGATAAGCCCCACTGTTCAAGACCATAAGAAATTACTGACTGAATTAAACTGTGGTATAAAAGCTTGAGAACATCAAGAGAGACTGTTTGTTTTAACCGACGAAGTAGGTAAATATATATGTTTACTGAGCTTCAGTTTGACACTATCAACATGAAACCTCCAGGTAAGTTTATTATCAATTCATATTTATGCTTAAAAAATGCACCTAGTTTCACCTATTTTGATATATCAATACAGTTTTCAATAATTAAGGTATTCCTCCGCATCGAGTACTGAGACCATAATGTTGATGATTTGAATCTTCTTGACAACTCTTCAAAATAAACTAACAAGGTATTTTCGGAACGAGAATACACCTTGGCTTTCATTTTCCAGTCCATGAAGTTTCTGTAAGTGATATTTATCTCTCGATGTGCTTGGTAGCAAATTATCGCAAACATCTATTGCTTTCTGTATTTTCCAACTCAAAATCTTCGTATTCCATTATATTCAATATTAAATGAATCTGAACTGTTTATACTATAACAATCAACAATAAAACCATTTCCGTTAGGTAAGTTGACAGCAATAATTATGCAGTGCTTTGGTTTTGTTGTTATGAAAACACCGACAATGGGCTACTTGGATTAGCACGCCAATCGTCGGCGTAGTGTTGTCAACACGGAGAACGTGTCATATCAATCTGACATGTAATAATTCATGACTGACTTGGGTTATCGTGATAATAGTGAGAAATTATTTCTCATTGTAATGTCGGATATTTCCCACTGCGTGATAAATCTTTCGTTTTGAACGTATGAAAGCGATGAGACACGTATGAGAGACACGTATGAGAGAAGTGACACATTGTATAGCATCCGTAGAAAAACGTTTTTTCCAACATGTTTCAATGGATTTCAAAATCGTGTGTAATTATAAAAAAGAGTTCATAGGCATAAAATCTGAAATTGCAATGAACAATGTAATATTCTAAACTGACTCAATACGTTTCAATATTTCAGGTAATAATAGTCACCTAGTATAATTATGAATGTCATACAGAAAATGTCAAATCCTCTCTTCTGCCAGTCTGTTAATAAAATCTTCTCGTGTGAGGTTTTCAACCATCTGCATCAGACGTTTCAAACCACTTCAGTATCAAAGCCCAATATTTGCAGAAACGGAAATGCGTTTCTCTGCCAAATAAGTTTCGTCATTGTCCTTGACATCGTACATATCTCAACAATGTAACCAATTTAAACTTCAGCATCACAAAAGCAACGTGGCAAGTGGAACAAATGACAAAATCCAATTCCCAAAGTGGAATTGAAAGAGTTTGTCAGATGCGCCGCTAGTAGACAAGGAAAGAAAAAAATTCTACTATGAACTATCCAAAGTTGCAATATCAAAATGGTCTCGAAGCTATTTGCATTTTTCTGTAATGAATTATTTCAGCGACTTCCACGAATATATATTAGGAAATAGACAGAGCCGAATTTATGTAAAAATTCCAACTCTCGGTCAAATCTCAAAGGAACGATATGGATAAATTCCAGAAAATTAAAATGAAAATAATATGATAACAGTAGTTGATCTGGCAAACGTTGTTCTGCCACTTTAAAGTAATATCAGTCCCTCAATGATGTATGTGTGAAACACATCGTGTGCTGGCTTCGACAACGTATGACTTATCGCGTGTTGTTGCACAGCCGTGGTGAATTGAAACTGAAACTGAGGCCGATTTTGAGCGGCACTGGAATGATTGTGAAACTCTTGGTGGATATTACGTTGATGAAAAATTTTGAAAAAAACGCGTTTTCTTTCTAAGACTCAGAACTTTCCTGCCCTGGTGTTATAAACCATGTACTTCTTCAATTTGGGAGATACCCGTACAGTCTTATTGTAAAAGCCGCTTGTCACTCCACAAACAATGGGCTTGTTTCATGTTATGGAAAATGATACTGGTTTGCTTATAGACTGATCCAGTTAGGGGTATATTATACTTATCAAGACTAATCGGTCCCAAAATCTCTTTATATTTGCAGAAAAAATAATAATTCGAAAAGCAAGAATTCAAATGGGCCGCGTGTCAGTTGACCAATAAAATTGATCTTGTCTAGAGCGGAGTTGCCAAGTGTATTGGTTTTCAATATTCAATCACATATCTGATGATCCAATTTAACAGACGCCATTTTTGTTGTTGTTGTCAACTTGGTGTGACTACAACTGTTACGATTATATAATTAAAGAACGTTTTTTTGTAAAAGGTAGGTCTAGGCGGGTACCTATTTTGCTGCATATTCCGTGTCATTCAAAAAACATTTTTTTGAGTTATTTTTAGATTGATATGTTCTGGAGTAATTCTCCATTTCACTATACATATTTTTACTTCTCTTTTCAGTCACCATACTGCTCCTTGGCCGAGATGAGAAATTAAATCAAAACTTTCCATCCTTCGATAAAAGACAAAGTCTGAAATGAATGTCATGTAAATGAAAGGGGCCTTTTAAATATACCACCTTCCATTTCAATTTATCATTCTACATTTCGGTATTGCCAATTTTTCAAGTAAAATTCATCGATCATTTCAAAATCGACTCCTGGTAAGTTTTAGGGAGTCAGCTTCAACAAAACTAGGCTCAACATTCATTTTGAAATCATTTTAAGAAAAATACGAAGTTTGTGGAAACCATTGACATTAGAAAGAGCACATTGTCGCATACACTACGGAGGGCGCTAGCTCACTGGATGACAATATGGCTCATGTACCAGTAACTTTGAATTTCTCATTTTTTGGTGGGTGGCATGAATGCATAATTGATTTATTTTATTAGGGTCCATGAACATTCGAAAACCATTTGAAAATACAGCTCGTTTAATTATATTCAGATATAACTTGTACAATATCAGTTATCAAGGCAAATATTATTGTCCATGTTTATGCTTAATTCGTGGATTCGAGCGATCTTATTGTTGTATATTTATTTGTTTAAATGAATAATTTAGGTGAATATTTTGTGATCTATCGACTTTGTGTACTGATTTTAGATATAGAACTTATTTGCAAACATGATTTTTCGTGTACATTTCATTCCATGTGGAAACTATTTCAGTAATTGAAACGTTAACTGGTTCATAAACACATAATTGAATTGATAATTATAGGCTTCGTAAATTTCAAGATTTGGCAATGTTGATTATTTCTATTGTTCCTATTGATCAATCGAACAAGAAGCGGGAATAGGGGCGTGACGTTACCACTCTACCACATCCGATTTTTAATAATTAATTACGGGAAAACTACGTTACTTAGAGAGATGAAACAAAGTGCACTGTTTTTCAATTTTAAATTTCTATCAAGTGAACTATAAACCAAAAATCATGAAACAAGCCCATTCATTGAATTATACTTCAGCGAAAACAAACTAGTTCGAAACGGATCTTTTCCGGTTGTAACAATTCATCAAATCATACTCTGAAAACAAAGAACGAGTTCAAAATGGACTAACTTGCTGCTGTTTTCGTAGCGGCTGATGGTCAGTTCAATTTTATCTCTCACCCTTTTCCTAACCCGAGGTTATATACGAAATACGTTGGTTTTCGTCCCTTTGAAGCAACGGAAGTTTGTCAACCGTGTGCAACCACACGTTGGCAATTTCGTAACTCTCACCATGTCTTTCCTGAAATAATACAATATACAGAGTAGCGATAGAAATAAAAACGAATTTAAAAAGGGTTTGAAAATCATATAATGTTAGAAATGAAAAAGTTTTTGGATGTAAATTTAGAAACTCATTGAGATAATTTCAATTTATCGTTGTTCAGAAAGGTACTAACAGATTTGAAATGTAAAAAATATCCATGAATAGAATATTGAAAACTGATGAAGATACTAAAAACAACAGGAGCGAAATAGTCGGATTGATGGGTCGAAAAAATATAATGGAAATGGCCGATACTTGATGAAAATCCATGACTAACGTAGTCAAAGAACTGTTTTCACTGTTTAGCGAAAAACTCACAATGAAGTGTTTTTTTTAATACGTGAGTTGGAGAAAATTTGAACAAATTGAAACATGAAATTTAAAAATATGAGTAAGTCAATTTGTGAACAAAAATCATTTTTGTGACCTGACGTGGAGAAGAATTCCGAAATTTGTCGAAATATAAGCGAAGTGTCAACAGTATGGGTTGTTTTTCTGGATGGAACACAAGCACTACAGGAAGACCCTTGAGGCTCTCTCAGAGCGGTGCCTGTGCCAAAGTAGCGATTTACATTGGATTTGAATCGCTGGGGATTGAATCCATTTGGAAAAACGTTCCATAAAAACGCAGTTCTCCAGATGATAGAGTTTTTAAACAATGAAGTTCAAAGTATACTGAGGTGAACCTCAAAACGATGAGTAGCCACAGTACTTCGCGTATTTCTGATATGTACCGCTCTTGGTGGAAAAAAATGTGCCAACTTCAAGGTATTTTTGTGGGCAGAGCTTCATAATGAGAACAATACTCCAAAGAAGATCTGGTCTGAGCTTCATGAAACATCAAAAGTTGCTGAGGTGTGTACAGTTTTCTGGTTCAGAACAGTGTTTCATGCTTTTGGGAAGCAGCCTTTGCAATTCCAGCGACATGATTGTGCCAAGACATATTGGTGTTCATTTCAACCCCCAACAAAATTATCGAAGCAGGAAGCGACATTATCATATCCGGTTCGGAGACATTAATTTTCTTGAAGAATACCGATGTCTGGGCTTTTGTAGCATTGAAGAGGACCTGGTTACTCCACCCCAACTGGAGACCACTTTTAGATCCTCATTAAGATATGCAACCTCCTGCTGCCGGTGAAGATGTGCCTCCGTAGCCGATGTCCTGGGATCCTTATGGAATGAGTGTGCTTTGCCAGCAAAGCAAAATATTGTTTTCTTTATTGAGTCGTTGATATACAATGAGAGGAGGGTTGGTGACAATATGGATCCCTGGAGAACACCAGCATTGACGATGAATTCGAGAGATATCCATCGATGGCCACTTGCAGGGAACGCTCTTCCAGGAAGTTGAAGAGCCATACATAAACATTATCTGACAAGCCATAGCATCGAAGTTTGGCCAGCAAACCCTCATGTAACACACGGCCCAAGGCCTTAGAAATACCAAGCTCAACAGCTCTTGATTTTCCATGTTTCTCGATTGCGGTATTTCAAATATGAGTGACATGCGATAGAAGGTCGCCTGTTGATCTTTGTTTCCGAAAGCCATATTGATGATCACTCAAGATGTTGAAGCCTTCCAAATATTTGAGGATATGGTGGTTTACGACTTTCTCCATGATTTTTGAAATCACTGATAGCAGAACGACTGGTCTATACTCATTCGGAAGATTTCTCTTGTTCTTTTTGGAATAGGCTTAACGTGAGCAATCTTTCAACAAGAAGGAAAAACCCCTTTTTTGTAAGACAGGCTGAAAATTCCACAAAATACTAGTGCCAGTTCAATGGCGCACTTTTTGAGTACGATGACGGGCACTTCATCAGGGCCAGACGCCTTGTTGATATTGAGCTCTTTCAAAATTTGTCTGACTAGACGCTGTCGAAAAGTAAATTTTTGGCATTGTGGATTCTAGTGTGTAAATAGTGGGTGGTGTTTTTCCCAGAAAATCAACTGTGGAGTGGGACGCAAATTGTTCAGCTAGTAGATTTGCTTTTTTTAAGGCTGTTGTTGCAATTTAACCAATTGCTTGATGAAATGAAAAATAAATGAATATAATACTGTGAACACAGCAAACAATGGAAAATGAGGAAACATTGAAATCGTGTTACTTCGAAATGTTCCAACTGGTAATATTAATAATCGGTTTTTAGTGATAACTGGTCTACTTCTGATACTTTGACAGTATTAATAGGTCAGTAATGTGCTTATCTCTCCTTCTTCTCTCATCTTGATGCACTTCAATGAGAAACTTTTCATTTCCCTCTTATGAATTTCAAATGTATCAACACTTCACAGATGGATCAAATACATCTTAAGGTTCTGGTGTAGGTATTTTCAGTCGCAGACCCAGGACAGAGTTATCTACCTGCCTAGGAAATTTTGCAACTGTATTTCAAGCGGAAATGTATGCTATTGAATTGTGTGCGGATAGATTGGATAAATCTAACCTCGTACACAAGTCAAAAACTGCCAAAAACGATTCTCCTCGATAGGAAGACTTAACAGATTGTCTCTGGTCTGAATTCCTGGCTATACTGGCCTGGAAGGCAGTGGAGCTGCTGACTCTCTTGCAAAGGAGGGGGCTGCAAGCGGTTTCATTGGACCAGAACCTGTCACTGGCATCGTTTTGGGCTTTGCCAAACAAACACTGAACACCTGGATGGCAAGAAGATTTATGGACTTCTGGCAGAATCTTCCAGGATTGGCGTTCATTTACCCTTCGAAGCTTGATACCAAACTGTTGTTGGACTACAGTAGGGATGAAATACGATGTCTAACACGCCTTCTTACAGGTCACTGTCATTTGAATCATTATATGCAGAGACTTGGACTATCGGAAGACAGTGTGCGTCACCTCTGTCTGGAAAATGATGAAACAGCAGAGCATATACTTTGTGCCTGCCCCGCTGGGGACCGAATCAGGTTCTTTGAGATCCTCACTCTTACCATCTGACCTGAAAGACCACTCACCATACAAACTAATCGGCTTTGTTAAGAAGCTGGGTTTATTTGGCCAAGTGTGAATAGGTGTTAGCCACAATAAACCCTTGTGGGTTGCGGTGAAGGGTCGAACAGACCCACTCACTTTAGAAGTACCTATCTATCTAGACTTCCCAGATAATTAAACGTGAACCCCTCGGTTCGTAAAACTTATCGCATACTCCATCTCTTATTTAAATACGAAAAGTACGCTAGACATGATTTTCTCAATTATTTTTTATGATTTTCAGACGAAAACAGAGTAAGTTGTGAATAATAATGATCTTAATTATTGTAATCAAAATCAAATGCCAAAACAAAAACTGAAATGATATCTAATTAAGACTCTTTTGAAAACCCTGTAGACGAGTAGAAAAAGCACTTTTTACAATCGCTAGAAATGTAATACTCTTTTCGACGCGCATTTCAACGATGAGTCGAGTAGACCAACCCACTTTGAACCTTCCTACCTACCTCTATTGTTGTGTATTTCCAATTTTTTGTTAAAAATCTAGCGGATTCGATAGTAGTGTATAGCTGGCAGAATTTTTAAATTCGGTCAAGCAATTTCTGGGTCTATCTATTACCAGTAAACTGTCAAAAGTGGAATATTAACTTATCGAAATATTATTTCAGGGGTTTCGATTCAAATTTAAAACATTCGTTTCACAAATTTTCAACAACTTAGGAAAAAGACATGTCCCTCAAGGATTTCATTCTGATAATGTAATCCACGAAACATCCAATAAACTTCATCCTCGGACATTATGTCATAGAATCTCAGTCGAAAGATTCTGGACAAACTTGATCCTAAGATACACAAACCGAATCGCAATCATGCAACATCCCGCCAACCTGTCCAGCTCGTTGATATTCTCATTTGTTGCAGGGTGGACATGTCGCAGGCCCACAGGAACGGCAGCTACTACCAGTGCTGCTCGGGCTTTTGCATCGATTTGCTCCAGAAATTCAGTGAGGAATTGGGCTTCACGTACGAGCTCGTCAGGGTAGAAGACGGGAAATGGGGTACCAACGAAAACGGCAAATGGAATGGCCTAATTGCGGACCTTGTCAATCGCAAGACTGATATGGTCCTGACTTCGCTCATGATCAACGCTGAGAGAGAGGCGGTGGTGAGTAGAATCTAATTATTTCCGCTTTCAACGTTCGTTACTGTTTGCTGGAGAAAGAGGTGTTCTCTACAGAGGATAACATAGTGGATTTAGCGAAGGAGTGGGTTATGTAGAGTACTATTTTTATTTCAAACGGACTTTGGAGAGATTATCAGTGTCCACAGTGTTATGATAACGATAATGATAATAACTTCATTCACATGAGCAAAAGTACATTCTTTTATGGCCGGTTTCACAATGTATGGTGATCTTTCCAGTCACTTAACCAGAGTTTCTCTGGTTAAGTGACCATTGCTGCCTAAATCGTTTCACAAGATTTATAATAGTGGTGGTCAAGTGACTATTGGTTGGTATGGACTTCTATAAGGTTGGCAATACAATTTGGTAAGAACAAACCCAAATATACCTAACATTTATTTGATATAAATAAGTGAATAATGATGAGAAGGAGAAGGTTTGACCAAAGGCTCCTGACAGAAAATCTGGAAAAAAACTAATTTTCTTCCTTTTAGCTGAAATCTATCCAATGATTGTCCATTTGAATCTATTGATGTCGGCGAACAAGGAAAAACAATAAAAATAGATTCCCTGAAAGGAATCAAATACTTGGGCGTCTACATAGACAGAAACTTAAGGTGGGACTCTCATATAAAATATACAATAAAAACTGCAAACGATGCTTCACAACTTCCGTTCCTTGAAAAATAACTTACCTCATAAAGAATAGTTCCCTAGTAGAGAGCCATTTGAGATATGGTACGACAGCACGGGGATCAGCTCTGCGTGTACACCTCAATCCGTTAGAGATATTACAAAGGAGATTCATGAAGTTGATCATGTTTAAAAGTTCACGTTTCTCGTCAGATCTCCTGTATAAAGAGTGTGAAGTTATGGATATGAGACAACTATATTACTATTGTACAAACGTGAAGTATCATTTCAGCAAAAATAAAGCATCATCACGAAACCACGACTATAACACACGACTTCGCGACCAACTGACCTATCCTACTGTTGAAAAGTCAATTTCCCGAAGAGCATATTCTTTCATGGCAACTAAATTATATTACACCGTACCTCACAAAATAAAAAATTCTTATTTCAAACCAATATTCAAAAAACAAATTAGAAAACACATTCTCGAAAGAGATAGACACTTTTATAAAAATCTGTTGGAGTAAAATAAATTAGTCACAGTCAAATTTATCCCAAAGTTGTATCATACTGTATTGTAAGTAGCATAATTTTATCCATATTGCCTAAGATTTCATCTATTTGTGCATTAATATTTTATTTTTATTGAACGTGTAATATTTGTCTAAGGTTTTATCTATTTTTCTTACTTTTTGTTTGTCTAATATTTAATTGGCCTATTTCATCTCAAGCTAAAATATAATTTGCTCAACTATAACACCAAATTCACAAAATTCAATAAAATGTTTTGTAGTTTCTACTCCATGAAGGCCATACATATTTTTATATAAATATTTATGTACTTACATATTCTTTATAACTTCTTGCGAAGTAAGAGCTCTGCACTTATCGCCAAACCACTTTGTTCACATATTTTGTTTTAATTGTACTCTAATCTGTATACGTTGTGAATAAAGTTATTATTATTATCATTATAATCATAGTGAGTTAGTCTTTGTGAGTGTTGAGTTATTATATTTTCTCAGATTTTACAGAGTTGAGTGAACTTATTTTTCGATACCAATTTAACTTCAATGGATACAACAAAAACACTAGGTGTTCAAACTTCACCTATGAAGAAGAACAACTACTTATAAATCTGGTGGATAAATATAAGGCAATAATAGAATGCAAAAAAGTAACACTGTGACAATTGAAAAAGAGTTTAATAGTTGTAATGGAAAAAACTCTTTCAGATCCCAAAAGAATTTGAAGGAGAAATATAATAATATTAAAAAGAGAACAAAACATAAAGGGACAGAAAAAAAAATTAATGTTACAAACTGGTGGGGGAAGTTATAAACCACAACCAGAATCATCTGTAGACATTGCGATGAAACATATTCTCAGGGAGCAACTGACAGGGATATAAAATAGTTATGATTCTGACAGACTGCCACAGCTCACTGTACCTGTCACAGCAGTGAAAAATATTGTTGAAGACCAGCCGTCAGGGCTGATAAATGATGACTGTGGCAATTTGGCTGAACCCACTTAACCTGACATCGAAAATGTCGAAGTGACAGAGGTAGTTCTTGATCTTCCGATAATGAACCATAACTATGTAAACCCAATTTCTGAGGCTAGCTCGTCATCAAAGAAACAAGATTGGTCGTCTCACTAAAGTAGAGATCTGAAATTACCAGTAATTCAGAAGTTGACGAAGGAAAGAAATGTGAGACAAATAAAGAAAACCAGTTTCAAGAGAGTAATAACGAATCCACGTAATGAGCTGATTGAGGAAAAATTAGCGTTTGTCAGGTTACAAAAAGAAAAATTTTTAGAAGAGCATTCTTTGAGAATGACTCTTCTCAATAAAAAAAGGAACTTGTGGATAAAAAACTGGAATCAATGTCGTAAAAATATTGTGCAGAATTATTTTAATTTTAACATTTTGAAGAATAAAGTATGTGGTTTAAAAAATATATTACATTATTTCCTTTTATTTGAGTTTATTACTAGAAATAATACAGTCCAAGTAACACAGAAATAGTATTAAAAATGTTGAAATGTGTTTTTCAGTTAACCAGCTATCGTCCCTCTAGGAAAGATAACTCTCAGGAGTCGAAACTTGTGCGAACTTAATCGATTATTGATTGGATAATTCGAAATGAAAGTAATCGACCATTCAATTATTATCATAACTCGATATAATTCAATGAATGATTTAGGTCATACTGAAGAAGACATGTTTGAAGATCATTTGAACGTCATACCTACATTTGAATACATCTGTAGTACTGCTCATTAGTGTTCTTTACATCTCCATTTTGGTTAACTATCGACAATTATTTCGATTATGCCCATCACTACTTGAGATCGTTGGCTAAAAGTCTCATGAAGAATTCTGAGGGTTACAGACAGTTATTCTTAGTTATTTTGAATGTACACATTGTGTGTAACATTCAGTATGAGAAATATTTTTCAACACAAAGTTAGGGATTTGAAGGGGTTCAGAGAGAACTAAAATACTCAACAATGTTTGAAGTTTATTTACAGAACATTACAAGTTAACAAAATAATTGATCAAAGTATTCCAAACTATATTATTATTATTATTAACATGCACATGTTGCATATTTGGTGGCTCATTGATATTGGCTAGATTAATAAATGCCTCTTGTTCAGCATTCATTTCAGGCACTGGTTCATTTTCGTCGCATGCAATGTTATGAAGTATAGCTGTAGCAACTATTATGGCTTGAACTGTTTCTGAAGATACTCTCATTCCCATAGAAAGTGCTGGGAATCTACGCTCCCAAGCCCCAATTTGTCTCTCTACAACATTGCGCTTTCTTATCTGGGATTCGTTGAATAAGGCCTCTGCTTTGGTTCTCATTTCTTGAAGGGGGATTATAAGGAACGGCTTCAAAGCATAAGCAATATCCCCCAATATAACAGAATCACCATATAATCCATTCTCAAATGATTGGTATAATCTAGAATTTTTGAAAATGTGCGAGTCATGAGATGATCCAGGCCATCTAGCAACAATATTCCTGATTTTCAAATTTGCATCATCAACAACAGTTTGGATATTTAATGAAAAAAACTGTTTATTTTTTGTTACCACCGAAAGTTACTCAAAATCATGTAGTATTGTAACAAGAACCTAATATTTTTATGATATCAAATCACAAAACATCAAAATAAAATAGGTATTTTGAAACAATCCTATCAATCCTTCAATCATATTTTCCATAAAAATATACTCACAGTAATTCATTAGAGTCTTTTTTGTTTAAGTGCTTACGCAGATCAATTTTTTTTTAAATTGTCTATGTCTTGGAAAATCATTTTCGATGCCTAGGTATTGAAAATGTTACGATATATGTCACTAAACTGATATTCAACTCCAATCTGGGAGTGTGTGCAACAATGTATTATACACAAAAATATCAGTGAATGGAAGATGTTTATGTTTCTTGAAAACTTCCTTGCATGATTCAGAAGAAGAGGTGACTGAAATGTTTTTGAAATATAGAGAGTCTACCCATATCAGATCACTATCCCCAAGTGAATATTTTCACACTCAATCTCAAAAATGAAAATATAATACAATGAGTAATCACTTCAAACTGATGACTCTTCGATGCAGCAGTTCGTGAGATCTTCTAGAAAGTTCATCCATGAATTTCATCCCGTTTGAGTTCCTCAGTATATTTTCCCAGAAATTCTTATGTATTTCATTGAATAATTTCCTGATCTGTTCAAGTTTGATAGATTTTGATACCTCTACTAGAATATGCAAAATTCATACTGTTGAGCCGATTGTTTGTGGTAACAATGCAATGGAAGCCCTTTTTGCAGTCTCTTCAATATCATCGGAAACACACAATTCCTCAATATTTTTTTTCATTATGCAAGACATGAAAACAGAACAGTTGTACAAAAATTCGTGAAATTGCTCAACTCGCTACGCTCGTTCCGTTTTCACTCACAAAATAAAACCTTACTTTCAACACTCATATCATAAATAGCTATTTCTATCTAGTTGAAAAATTACACTCCCTTTCGTGAAATAGCTATCACAAACTCATCTACTATTCACTATTCTGATAAAGTTCACACCCGGGACAAAAACTTGCCAATCTCTAGAAAAGCCCCAAAACTTTTATTTTGAATTCCAGAGCTGTTCCTGGATGGTTGTCTGTGAATTTATTACTTGTGTCCTACCTTTTCTGATCCCTCCTATGCAGTTTCCATCACCAAATCCGGAACTCCATATCTCATGTACAAACTTTTTCGATTTCGTCCAGCAGTAGCGTTTATTGAAAGTTCGATATGTTCGTCAAGCGGGTTCTTTC